TCTTCATCAATTTAGGGACGGTACCAGCTGTATAAATGAGCTAATCCTGGACTTTCTGAGGAAGGGTCACCGGACCCGAAACGTTAATTCTGTTTTCTCCTCCACAGTAAACAGGGTAAATGGTTAAGGTGGTGGATGGGGTGCACTGTCTAATATTGACTTGAATTTGTTTGCTATAGAAACTGCTCGTATTCAAGTAATTGGAGCATATGCCACCAGCCTGCTGTTGTGGATGAAGCAAAGGCTATGGCGATTCAGGATGCGAATAACTTACCGCAGATTGCTCTGCTTCTAATCTGCTCTTTCAGCCGTTATATTCATGTAGCTAGTCAGTGAATTTTCTGGTCAATGGTGACTCCAGGATATGATGGTGCAGTTTTGACAATGGTAGTGCAATTGAGCGTCAAGAGAAAGTGGTTTACCTCTCTCCTCTGTGTGTGACATTTGGGAAATATAAATGTTACTTGCCATTTATCAGCATTCCCTTGCTGCATGCAGTCATGGACTGCTTTATTATATGAAGAATTATGATTGGTGCTGTGCACTGTGCAGGTATCAGTGAACATCCACACTCCTGAGCTTATCATAAAGCAGCTGAGGATAGCTGACCTAGGGCAGGAACATGTGGAATATATGTGGTATATTATATGCATGCATTCTCAAGTTGCCTTCACAATCCTAATTAAATAACATCACGTTTCAGCAACCTGATTAAATAACATGAATTTTCGGCACAGTTCAGAAAACTATTCTGTGATTGCAATCTCTTTTTGTCAAAGCATGAGCACCACCATTGTGATTTTAAACATCAGTATATCCTCCACTTCATCAAATGCTCAGTAAGTAATGCCCCATTACCCAGCTCCTCCTGGTCCACTGATGGATTTTCTGTTGTAAAAAATATTTCACTGTAGAGTTTCATTGTGTACATACATATTGTTCCTTTCTCACCCATATGTTAGAAATAATCAGGGGTGCATCAGGTTGAGCTCAACTCTACAGTTAAGGAGATCATTTATAATAACTAGTAGGTTTGATGTCGTAGGTAGAAAAATACAATTCATGTGTGACTTTGGAGGAGCACAGAGATAACATTATGGTTCCCATACTGCAAGGTTATTTTCTGAGGAATTTATAGACCAATTCATGTGAACTCCATTTTGTGCAATGAAGATGATATTTCGGTTTCTTATAAGAATAATAATGAACAATGACAAATCTGAATCTCCTGTGAATTTTCTGGCTTCATGTCTCAAACCATTTCAGTGGGATTTTGATTAACTGATAGAAGGCTCAAATTTCACACTTAAAAAAAGTACAGCCTCATTCATTAAAAACTGTTATTGTTGGGTTTTCTCAGATAAAGTGAGCACCTAATGACAGACATTTTCCAATTGAACTGTTCAAAGATGTTATTACATAAGTTTGGAGCAGGTGGACTTGAACCTGGGCCTCCTAGCTTAAAAGTAGTACCAATACCAGTGGGGTACTACCACTGCACTCATTTAGGAAAGGTGCTAGTTGGACATTTACAATAGTCACAAACTCGAATTAGGCTCCAGGAATATCATAGCTCTGTAAACTTGCACTATGCAGATGTCAGCCGAGCTTTAAAATAGTCACCTTCGCATCTTGGTACAGCATTATTCCAGACCACATTTCCATCTTTCAGGATGCAGGAGATTGTTTCTGATCCATGTGTCTTCAGAAATCCTTCTTCACACAGAAAAGATACAGTACTTCCGAGCTGCAGACTTTCTCCAAAACGTCTCCCATTCACTGGCACCCCAGGATCAGGGCATTCATTGTGTCGGAATGCTAACGAAATACAAACAATGGTCAACATTTAATACAGTACTGGTTGCATGAGGTCATGATTTTGAGTTTCAAAACAAAAAAAAACCTACAGTGTGACTACATGTTGCTAAGAAAGCATCGATTTTGTTTTGGAAACTTAAAAATTTTGTGACATTTCCTTGAAATCTTGTGGGAATCACTTGCTGAACAAACCATAATTCAGGGGAACCCAACTTCCATGGGATCATACTGGAACATGGAAGAAGACAGTGACATAAGATGAACTGATGCTGGGCTTTCAATGGCGATGTCCAGCTGGTCAACAAGAGTGAAGTGGGTGCAGTGGCTGTGCACAGGAAAGAATAGAGTGCTTTTTTTCTGTCTCATGCATCTCTAGACTTGGAAACAATCAAGTCTGGGTAAACATGACCACAGTAATGGGCAGAACATATATGGTTGTGTGTAGAGATAGACATGGCAATTCAATTTATCAAACCCAATTCTTTTCAATAGATCATTCACATAATTCTATCCATAATATGTAATTTCTTATGCAGCATACAATAAGTAAAATGTAACAAAAATAAAGTGAAACTTTATCAAACTTCTTCATTCCATGGAGTAAACTAATATAACAGCCAATATCTCAGCCACGTAACACAACTCTTAATACCCTAATTCTAAAACAATTATATTCAAGATCACAGGAAAACTGTAGTGATGGACTTCCATACACAATGGTAATTGTTACTATAATTTTCAACCTGCCACATTCTCCTGAGATGTAAATGGACCCATCACACATAAAGAATTGGTCAAACAATGAAATAAAGCAAAGCACTTTGCATGCTGGAAATCTGAAGCCAGAACAGAAATTGCTGGAGAACCTTCAGAAAATGTTAACTCTGCTTTCACTCCACATATGCTGAGTTTCTCCAGCAAATTCTGTTTTTGCTGGTGATATAATAATTTGGGTTCTTTAGTCAACAATCAGATTGTATACAGATATGTTTACTAGGAAGCAGGATGCACAATTGGCATCTGGCTCAAAATACCTCACAAGTGAGAACTGGTCCTATCAATGCCATTCTGAAGCTCTAAGAGCACTCATTGTATTTGTGAAGTTTGCACCAATGAGCCCAGTTCTGAGTCTAGCATATTCATTTGATGCTACATAATCATTACCAGATTTTTTCCACACACTGATCAAATGAGTACACATTTCATATTTTCATGTGTTTTGATCCACATCGGTGGTAATATTGGACATGTTGAATTACAAGGTGAGATCTGACTCAATAGACTGCAAGAGCTTTTTTTTCCCCCTGATTTGAGCACCATATGACCAGTCATTTAGCATATTTACAGTGCTTGCCTAATAAACATTTAACAAAATAACATTAGTTTATTACCCAGAAGAAACAAAGAAACAAAGTATCTAATTTTGAAAGATCAAATCATGGCCAGCAAAAAAAAAATCAACTCTTTTCCCCAACAATATCCTTTATAACAACTCAACTCCAGTGAAGTATCATTCCTATCTTCACTTTAAAATTTTGCACTCCACTGACAAGGTTTTCTTTTGGCAATTCTCTGCTCATTCACCATATGTGATTCTGTGCATTTCTGTCAGAGACACAAAGACATAGACTAATAAACTTATCTTTCTTAATGAATCTTAAGGAAAGCTTAGGGCTTTTTTCAACCCTGTCAATTGGACTGCTAAAACAAGTCCATTTCCAATGGACTAGAAACTGCAAAATATAAAACTGGAATGCATCTATTCTCTTCTGAACTGAACCTACTTGTGTCCCCAGCCGCTCCTTCTATGTCACAGAAACTTAGTAATTATCTCGTTGGGTAATTTATTTAGTCATTTAGCTTAAGTTACTTACTTTATTGGAAATCCTGTATTGAGCTCACTGTTCAAAATGATTCGTTTTTTTGTTAAGAACACCTTCATAAAGCTAAAATCATTGTGTTCTACTTTCAAATACGGTTTCCTAAATAATAATATTATAGATATTCATCACACATGCTTTACTTACATTGATCTGCACAAAATTCCATATACTGTTCCTTTGTTCATCCATTTGTTTTCTTCCTTCGAATATTATCAATCTTGCTTACGCTTACCAGATAGCCACACAGCTTCATTTAAATGGCAAATTACAAAGTAGCACTCAAATTATCCTTGATCATAGATTGATGCAAAAAGAAAGAGATTTGAATAGACAGTTCCAGCAGTCCATTTGTCACTTTCTTCTGTGGAGTGTCTCCATTTATCATTCAGTGCTTTCTATAGATTGCTTAGTTTTCACTTCTCTTCAGTGACTGGCTATCACTTCTATCATCTATATCTTCATCTGAAGCATCAAGAATGTTACGACATTATAAATTATATCTGTTGGATAGACCTTAGTAATGTAATTACCATCTCAATGAATTCCAGTGAATTAGTTGAAAGTATGCTGTAGTTTCTCAAGATCATGATTACTCCTTGCAGCTTCTCGTTAGATCAAAATTAATTATGCCCCATAAAGTATTGCTGAGCATTTGTCTGAATCTCTCATTAGAATAATGTACCTATAATTTTTTGCTTCATAAGTAATTTTTTTTCCCAATACCAGACTTGCATTAGTTATCTTGCATCATTAATCCCTGTATTTAAGGGACTCTTAGACATACTAAGCAGGGAATCATCTGCATCATTCCAAATTCCTTCCCCACTCATCTAGATGTTCTTAGTAACTTCATTGGCAACTCCAGATTGTATATTTTCCTGTTTGACTGGACTAGAATCTGTTCTCACATTTCATCTGATATGACAAAAGAAGTAGGTTGTTAACATTCAATTTTCAATAATGTTATACAATAGAAAATAACCGTATTTAAACAGAGTCCCAAGTCCAAACTTTTAGTGAGAACTCTTTCAGTTAACCTTCCACCATAAAATGCACAGCTGACTGATCACTAGCTCCAAATATTTATACAGCCAATACAGGCATAATTAACCTCAATTAATATACTTGTTTCCTTTTTCCATGAGGTCTCAGTCATCCACTCAGATCTTATTACATGAAAACAGATTCCTCTTTTCTGTTATTTTTAAAAATATACTCAAAATATACAAAATGACATATTATATTCCCTTTTCTCTTCTTCATTAAATTTCTAAGTGTAATTATTCCAGTATATCCAACAGTGTCTTCCAACAAGAATTTTGTTTTGTAGAACAGTTGGATATGGCTGCTGCTGTTACCGACCTATTAAATCCTCCATCTCTAGATCAGGTTTTAAAATTACAGAATTCCCACAATCAAGAAAGAGGTCATTCGGCCCATCAAATCTGCCCAACCCTCTGAAGAGCATCACTCCCAGACCTCACCCTATTCCCATAGCCTAGCATTTAGCATGAATAATCCACCTAACCTGCGCATCTTTGGGCTGTGGTTATAGGTAGTTATACTCTGAAACTTCACATATTTTGACAGATCATCCCCTGCTACCACTGTTGTTCACTAGAAGATGACTGTATTCAAACAGAGTCTAAGTCCACAATTTTTATTGAAAGCTTTGTTTCAGTTAACTGTATGTTAACCATACTTCATAAAGCACTCACCCCACTGATTACTAGCTCCCAAAATTAATACAAGAATTCATAACAATTTTCTAAATTTAACATATTTTCCCTTTGGACGTGGTGCAAATTGAACCCAGGTGTCTCAGTCTAAGGATAGGGACACTGCCACTGCACCACAAGAGTTTATTCTAAACCTACTGACCTTTACTTAATAGATCCCTTGTTCTATTAAGTCTCAGGCATCCATTTAGACATTAGGAACTGTCAGAAGTGTCTTTTTGATGCTCCTAGCTGACAAACTTCTAACTGACCTTTAGAAATTTAGGTTAAATTGCATTCAATTGAGCTTGGCAGAAGTTTTAAGTTTCACAACTTTCTAATGCATCACTAAGTTTGAAGTATTTATCTTTAACTTGCTGATAAAAGAAGCCAACGTCTGCTACACAAATGCTCCAAAGACATCTCAAGTGAAAACTGAAGTGGCGTGGCATCAAGCCCAAGGAGCTGGAAAAATCAACAGAAGAAGGAACTCTGTTGTCACTTTTGAAATGGATTGACATCAACATCTCATTGCTGTCTCTGAACATTGCTTTAGGACAGCATGTCCATGTCACCACAGAGGAGTTCCAATTTCCTAACTGTTTCCAATTCTGTTTATCCAGACTGGAGTTAAATAACTATCTCTGCATTTGTCATCAATGAAGAGGAGGCTATGGGGTGACCTTACAGAGGTTTATAAAATCCTGAGGGAAATAGGTGAAGTGAATGGCAGGTGTCTTTTCCCTAGGTTGAGGGATTTCAAGACTAGGGGACATATTTTTAAGGTGAGAGGAGAAAGATTTAAAAAAGACATGAAGGGCAACTTTTTTTTATACAGAGAGTGGTTTGTGTGTGGAATGAACTTCCAGAGGAAGTGGTGGATGGAGGTACAATTACATGTTTAAAAGACATTTGGATAAGTACATGAATAAGAAATGTTTGCAAGGATATGGGCCAAGGCCAGGCATGTGCGATTAGTTTAGTTTGGGATTATGGTTGGTGTGGACTGGTTGGCCCAAAGGTTATGTTTCCATGTTGTATGACTTTATATCCATTATTTATTTTGAACTTGAAGGGTAACTATCATGTGCTGTTGCATTCATTCTAGTTTACTTTTTTTCTAATTTTAATGGAATTCAAAATGCCAAACTTGATAATGTGTTTTTGATTCATGTTTAATTTTACATTCTTACATCTCTGGGGAACTGCTAAAACCATATTCATTCACTCCTTTCTATTTTTTATGTCACTAATTCATTGTTTCCTTCATTATAACATTCCTTGAATCTTATTTAAATTTTATGGCTTTTCAGAATGAAACATTTCTTTCCCATTAATAAGTATTTCACTTGCCAATCGGTGTATAAAGTAATAGCTCTGAAGGGGTTAATGTTCAAGT